CTACGCTCAACTAGTGGTTTGACTGTCACAACTTATGGCAGAAGGTCCTAAGAACGCAATGTCGGACTTTATCGTTTTAATGTGTAAAACTAAGTCTTATAACACTGGAAATTGCACCACAGATTGGTTAGAGCTTCAGTCGTGACCAGCTTATTGTTGGTTCACCGCTAGTACTTCTGATAAACTGCATTTGCCCTCGTTCCCGAGCTGGTAATATATTCCTAGGTCAGGTAGGCTAGGCTGGAGAATCAACATACGGCGTAGCGGAATAGACGGCCTGACAACAATCACGAGTGTTATTTATAGTTGAATATAACCGGAAGAAAGTTCGAAGCCGTTTTGGCGACATAACTATTTGGTTTCCAAGATGTTAACAGTTGTTCAGCATTCAGAGTCAGGTAAAATCCTGCCCCACCAACGCCGTGTGGCGTAAAACTCTATTATTCGCATAATACATCTTCCTTAACTTTACTAATTTTCTTCCCTTAATCCTCCTCAGAAGTTACTCTAGCAACCATAACTTTCTGTGTAACACTACGGTTCTGAGTGGAAATGACCACCTTGAATCGACAAGTGCCTATTTTCTAACGCTTTTAACAGACGTATAGTTTTTAAGTTCGTCCCGTGATATCACATCCGCACATGGATTACTCTGCGGTGTTTACTTCTTCCTCATTATGTTGGGTAGGATTCCGTTTCCGTATCCACTGATATCTAAAAATGAGTGTCTTTCTGAGTGTTCAATTAAGGTTTCCCACTTCATCACAAAAACAGCACTCATGTTTGAGAATAACTTTATTTTCATAGAAAACGTCATAGTTTTCTATGGTTAGACCAATATGGTTAGCATCATACATTGCAAATGTGCACTATCATATCAAGTACTGTATAGCTTATTCTTGTATTTTTCTTGTAAATATACTTCCAATAATGTATTATTCATGATTGCATTTTATACCACTTTGTAGCTGTGCAGTATTTTCTCCTCTTCCTGAAATAGCGTTCAAACACATGGGGTCACAGCACTCACTCAAATATATGTTGTTTATCGATAGGCCATTACTATCATCATCAGGAAATGGAACGAAGTTTGGGTTGTCGCTCAACTTTGATGGAGACCTTCGTGAAAGATTTACAAATTAACAATTGTAAGATTCTGTTCCGATTGCTTGTACTATAATTCAACAATTTGAACCTTTTAAAAAGTGATAATGTATGCTAATTCACAATTGTAATTCGTAACGTAATTGATCGTGACTGTAAAACTGGCACGCATTTCATGTAAACTTACCTGTTTATACGAAATATATATATTATTATTACATGATCTTTTTTTCAGAGATTAGGTAACTACATATTGGCCGTTGTGGCCCAGATAGAGTGCATGGAAAATATTCAGATCCACCTCAGTTTATTATCCTGCATTACAAAAGATGACCTTGTAAGTAGAGTCAGAACGTCTCAGTCGAGTATTTCCTACTAGTCTTAGTAGTAAATTTCCTTAAATACTGCATCTTATATGCATTTGCTATTTTGAGTTGTCTCATTTTCATGACTTTACACAGAATTTCCACCTCTAGCAACGACTCCAGATACCAGCGAAATTTCCTCACCTCCTTTTTCGTCAGCTTACCGGATAAAAAGTCCAATAGCCTTTTTAATAAGAGCATGTGCGGATAAGCATCAGAAGTTGCACAGTCACCGAAACGACGGTCAACTGCAGCTCCTGTAAGTAAACGGTGTCCGACCAGTTCAAACTTTAGGCAACTGTAGACTGCAGCTACCAAACCCTCTGCAGAAAAGTACTTCTTTAACTAGAGCGATAATTTGTGATGATCGAGAGGGCTTTTGATACAACAGAAGATGCAATTACATCAGAACGTGAAAATTCACACTTTTTGCGTATATTGACATTAACCAAGAAAGTGGAAGAGTGTTACTGCATCCACTACTTTCAGGGAAGTAATTGAAAGAATGCTTAGTGCTACGGACGTGTAGTCCTTCTAGTACTAATGTCAAAGGTGATAGAAGGCCTGAAGGACAATCATTTCGAAGAACATATTGATAAAAACAACATCTTACGTGGAGCTCAAAATGTGTAACTAAATTGCTAGCGGCTCGGGGCAACTGGACAGCATGCTTAAGCCCGAACATTGCAATCCATTAGTTGTTTCTGGACCTGGTGGAAGCTTTTGAATCTGTGCCGCATGGAATCCTTCTCTACAAAGTGTCGAATGGCTTTATGATATTCTCACTAACTGTAGCAACTTAGTCCGCTTTAATGTTTGTGTAATGACAGCGGTTATAGTTTTTTCTATGCCATTTAGATGAAAATGCACATTAACTTTTTTCCTATGTACGTTATATTGGGTGGTTGTAATGTACTTGAACTACATTGCCTTTACTGAAGTTGTGTTGGAAACGCTGGCTCAAAACTGATATCCATACTGTGTGGTGGATTATGGGAGATAGTAAGTCGAAGAGTTAGATATATGTCTTACCATCCTCATGATATCATGCCGGTGTATTTGGCCTATTTAATGAAAATATTTTCACCACCATTCTAGTAGCTTTTAGCATTGATCGCATTATTACAGCGATAATTTCTCTTTTCGTGCGTTCAGCACGGAGTGGTTTCCAATTTAAGAGATGTCGCATGAGTACTAGGGAAGTTGATTTGCTTTTATTTATGAATTCAATTCATATTTAGTAACCAAAACTGAATACAACTGTGGGGCATCATGAATATTTGTCCTATTTTTATTTTCTGCGCTAGATCAAAAAACCTGTGACTGGGTGCAGGCTGCCAATAATCTGCAAACAAATTATTTGAATGCCAGTGGCAGATTTTTACGCTAAGTATACCAAACATTTATTTGATGAATCACATATTCCAGCACGCGTCTACACAAACAATGCGCTCATACTTCGAACTAGTGTCGAACAAACGTTCTTAGAGAAATCAACCCGATGAAAGCCAAATAAACGTCAAAATCAGGTCAAATAGAAATGTCTATATCAAACATGGCACAGTAGCCAGACTGAATCAACCAAACCGCACAAATACCCGACAGATAAATCAGGTGGCGCCAAGTCAAACTGAGGATATGCCATATAGTTGCCCAGTTTCTAAAACAGTAACCAGCAACCAACTACTATACTTAGTTGAAGCACACATAGAGGGCAAGGGATTTTGCATTAAGCTGAATCTCAAACAATTTACGTGCATAACTTATCCTCTAGGGTATTGCAAACGTTACTTTCGCCATTCTTATTTCTGATTCTCACATATGATCTTCAGAACGAATCAAGCTGTGAGTTCCCTCTTTAAGCTGGCAATAAGAAGTCGTGGAGGTTTATGGAAAATGTAAATGCCCGGCCAGGAAGACTTGACCTTTGGTTTACCCTGAATAGCTGAAGCCATCAGATGAGTGTGGTGAATTTACGGTTCAAGTTCACTACGTCGCTAACCGTTCACCGATTCGTAACTTCACAGCAGGCTAAAAATGTGAGGTCCGAACACATCCACTGGGAGTGCACTATCACGATAAATATTGAGTTTTATGAATCTATTTACTTCACTATCTATCCTTACTTTTTGTATTTTCTCCTCCTCCCATTTTCCAAACTTTTCTTATCTCCACGTCTTATACATCCCACACTTAGTTTCCATGGTAATATTCTGTTATTCTTTTCTACTCATTCTCTTAGTGTTTTGCTGCCGTATTACCGAATTTCCCAGTGTTTGGAACCGATATAGAGGGTTTTCCGCATCAACGACAGTTTTGAGTCCCAGCGGCGTCACTACCGGTGTATAAATCATGCATATCTTTCGAAACAAGTTGCCGAATCTACCGGTGAGTGCAGTGGATATTGGACAACGAAGCAGGGGAAATAAGAAAACCAGCAAGAGCAAGGACTACACACCAAGGTCAAATTATAGTAAACAAACCAATCCGACTCTTCTAGGCGAAAAGTGGCGTTTATTCTATAAAACAATGTATTTGTAAGGTAGATACTTAAAAAAGGATTAAACAGGGTATGTTTATCTCTAATGTGCTGCAAATAATCGGTCGCAGTTTCTCAAAGGAGTGTCTATTGATATATCAAACAAATGTCAATACAAAAATTCATTTAAGTGGCTCTATATCATATCATATCGGGAACCATTTACCATTCCAATACTTTTTTTAGACGCATACAGAATCCTTCAATAGGATTTGAATGAGTTCCATTTATAGGATTCATTAATTCATAAGAATGATTGACTTTGTGGTGGATATATTCTAATTATGATAGTTGCGAATAATCTCTCCACTCGTTTGGGTGAATGGTAGTGCTTGAGAGGTCTATAGTCTTTGCATTATTAGAAGTATAACATCAACAGTTGAGGTTTGGGATGCGTTCTACAAACCCTTTTCGAAGATTCGTATCGTACAGTCTCAGCAGTTAAACGTGATGCTCTTGCTGTTCTCCTACCGTGACTCATTTTTCGTTTCATAATAGGTACTGTTTCGTCAGTATGAACGACGACACCGGTTCCTCCAAGTACAGAGATAATTGCATTGATCATTTGTGAGGTGACATCTCGACAGTGCTGATACCATTTGACATTTGAGTATTCTCTGTTTCTGCAGCTGTAGCAGATACTGGTCGTCTAAGTAGCTGATTGTGGTCTATGCACAATATTTTACTAAGGCAGAGTTTCGATTTCAAGAGGAAAGTATCTAAAAATCACAATAATGCACTTGTCAACTCTTACAGTTTTCCTTTTACACCAGTGATTGCGGTAGAGGTCAAAATCGAAATCTGAGTGGAAACTGAAACAAAGATTACGAATGGCATCAACTTGCAAAACGGAGTGGCGATCTGATTGGTCGGTTCAAGGTCATTTGACTCTGATGTCTATTGTTTACTCTTGCCATAAAACGTATATTCTTAAGAAAAGTTACAAATGAAATCAAAGTAATAGCGTTAAGAAAACGAAGCTAACCTTCTACATACAATCCTGTAGCGGTACTTACGATCTCTTCCTTCACTCAAGGTCATTGTCCTACAGGATTTTCACCATTCTTTCGGGTCAGCAAGGCTTTACTCCTCCATGCATATATTTTATGTAACTTTTCTCTTTGTCTACAATAATTTTTTGTGTTATGAAACAGTTCAGAAGTAAAACTCAAATGGTATTTTTAAATAATGTCATAAAATTGCATATATTTTTTATATTCGGATTTGTGATTAACTGTAGGTTTTCAGCCTATGGTAGTCTTTGTATATTTAGGATTTGCACCTGCCACTTATCCGAACTAGGTTGACTTAAACTTAGGCTCCACTTTTTCTGGTAGTCGGTGACTAAAACAGTTACTGACCTCTCCCAAATATAACCAGAAATTATTACAATTAAGTTTCCTAAGGAAGTTTATTGGAGGACGTGGAGGAAGATCCAGTAGATCACAGTGATTCATTTGGTCGTTGGCTTCTAATTGTTATACAGTGTCATGTTTGATTTTCCTACTCAGTAAGTAGGAAAAGTTTTTTCTTAAAGTTATGAAATTCATGTTTACATTTGTCTCCGTTTTGATAGTAAGAATATTAGCAGTCTCAGTTATTTCTTGTATAACTCCACCATAGGTTATACATTAGTAGTAAGCATAGTGAAGGTTCTGTGTATTATCCAAAATGTTTCATAACTATGAGTTGTAGCTGCGCAAGTGTGCTGTAATTTTTGAGCCGAAATTGACTGTAACGATGTACGTTTGAACTGAAGGAGGAGGTTTTCGATCCATATACGCTGGCATGCTTGTACACTTAACTATGTTAACACGAAGTATTCATTATTTGAACTGAAGTTGTAGGGTATTGTGTCTAATTTCCTGAAGCCGTCTTCAGTTGTTTAGGTAGAGGACTATGTTAGTTTTGATAAGCCTGGGTAGTTCGTTCATATGCAGTAGCAATAATAAAAGTCCCGGTACATTACCTTATGGCACACTATACCTTCGTTTAGGAAAAAAGTTTGGGGCTGATGGGTATTCTGTCTCTATCACAAACAACTCCCTTCATGTGTATAGAATACCAACGGTTGCAGGTCATTCCAACAAAATAGCACAAGACACAATCTAATACTTTGCTAATACCTATAAAAACTACAGCTTTCTCGTCTTCTGTAAACTGGGCATATCTATTTTTCACCGTGAGGTTTACCGAGCTGCATAGGTTTCCTCAAAACCCATATTGCACGTTAAATAAGAAGGTGTTTCCCAGACGAGCCATAACTAATTTCCTTATCATTTTTTCCTGTATCTTATTTAAGATGTTAATATACCCAATATGTATGTAGTTTAAAAGGTAGTGCTAAGTTCCTCCTTTGCTGATAGGAGTCAAGCCGTAACATTCCTTGCTAGATTCATAGTCAAAAAATAGCAGTCAGTGGACTGGTTATGTGGAGTATCGACCCTCATGAGAAGCCTTAGATGAATTTAGTCATGTCCGTCTGATTCCCAGGTATTTTGATTACTTAAGGGTATGAACACGGTTTGGTCAATAATTACCGAACATATTCTGTTTTCTCGCTGTGCGACCGAATTCAATGCAGTATATGGTAACGATTTGTAAGTGAAGATACTGGCGAAGTAATCTGTCATTACTTTTACTTTGTACTAGTCCTCCTTGATTAAGTATGATGCGTCTTAGTTATGGAACTTTTTTTTCCAAGATTAGCTTGTAGGAATAATTTACTAAGGCTCACTGCATTTCGCGCTAGGCGCATCTGAAATTTCACTGGTCGGCTTATTCTCAGTTTGGAACTTTGCTCAGAAACTCAGCAATTCTAGTTGCCACATTGCACACGTAGGTCGAGAAAAGGAATTCAAAAGGACTATTATGAATAAAAATGTATGGTAAAAAGAACAAACACATGGAAAATAATGAGAACCCTGTGAATGTGGGAGAGGAAATGTATTTGCTCCATTGAGAACAGTTCTAAGCCATATCACCAACAGTTTCAAGTCATTGGTTCTTACTGTCTCGAAGATCCCTACACCTGGCTTAGACTGGCAGTTAAAGACTTCATGGATTGATGCTGGGTTTTAACTTGATTACAGCTAACTCTTTCCCAATGTTATCCAGTGTCAACTAACATCGCCCGATGAGGAAGGCGCTGGCTCCGCATATGTAACACTTGCCCTGGTCACTTCAGTCCGTGCAGCTCCATAACTTCGTTGATTGACTTTCACTCCTTATCCTACCTCAATATTACTTACCATATTATCCCATTTAACACGTGAAGTAGAGTGCAAACATCTGTGGTCAAATATAGCTAGCCTATTCAGGTCTTCCACTTTCAACTGCCATGTTTAATAACCATTTAAAATGACAGAATAGCGTGGTATGATCTGCAGGAATATTCATTTTAGCCAGCGTAGCTCGTTGGGTCGCAACGATATGCACTCTTGATCACCACTCCAAGGTGACAGCTATCAGTCAGACTCGAATTTCATTCATGGATGTTGAATCGCTGTGATCGATTGATTTCTAGCCGTAGTGTATAGTTTCGTAGTCTTTGGAATGCTGAGGGTGATTTTTTTATTCCTTTACGTTCCCCCAGTGGAACATAGGGCTTCAAGCTGGAGGCTTGAATTTTCAGTAGCAGTGGTGTTTATTTCTACAGGATGGGGTTGCTAGCCTCATGCCCAACCTTCCCTTTTTACCGGTCTCATCACTGGCTTAGCGAGATAAAGGAATGCGTCGGTCGGGGCTAGGACCCCAAACCACATGCATGGCTGGGGAACATTCCAGCACTGTGCCACCGACGCTAGTGATAAGTGTCTCCTATTACTTATGATTCTGTTTAAGTAGGCCACCATTGTTTCGGTTTATCTACTAAGGACAACGCTTCTGTGCCTTAAAAACAGTTCATGGTATGTACGACTGATTGGCTTGCTGCCGCGAGTGTTGCTTCATATAACCACATAAAACCTCTAAATAAGTCCTCTGATCTATGGTACAGTCCTCTGATGAGGATACTGCAACAGTATCAGTGAACTTGGAAGTAAGGACAGTTTGACCACTTCTTATAGTTAGGTAGAAACGTGTTCATCTTCACCGCTCGAGGAAGTCACGTTTAAAGTTGAGGAGTGTTGGGAATAATACTATTTGGGTTTACTGATATGAAAACTACATGAACCATTCTAACAACTTATGGTTGGAGTCACTGTCTGAAAATATGTTTACTAAGTTTTCGGAATCTACTGATGGGTTGTTCAGATCAACGGCTATTAGGCATCTACACTTAATGTCTGTATGTGTGATTTCTCGATGAGGGAGTCATCATCTATGTAGTCATAACTATACGATATACTACGATTAAGTTTATGTCTTGTCCTCTACATTTCAGTCTACAACGTATAAAAAGTGAATGCATCTGCGCCATCAAGAATGATATTGAGCAAATATATGTTAACAATTGTGTAGTTGTTGGCGATAAGTTGCATAGCTACACTGATATCACAAATATACGAATAGAACTTGAGGAACTATAAAAAAACACTGATGATAAGTAATGAATAGCAGTCAAATTCAGGATGCAAATTTCGTCCTGTTTGGTACTCGTCTGCTGAGCGTACCTTCATTCCTTAGTGACTGATGGTGTTCCTGCTAGGAATCGAACCTTGTACTCATCGTTTTCAATGCCAGAGTGTTATCCACTAGACCATTTGGTTGGGGTCCTCGGGACGGTAAAAACCAATGGTTGGAAACAATTGGTGACATGGCTCAAAATCGTTCTCAATGGCGCAGATGCATCCACTCCTTGTGACTCATGATTTCCAATGAAACTGTTTCGTTCTTCGTTATTACTATTCCTTTGTCTCACACCTCTGTTTACTGTCTATATTATGCATTTCTTCTACTTTCTTCTCTTGCTTTGTGTGCTACATGGAGGGAGTGTGGCGACATGAACTGCCACACGTCGGTGCAAAGTTCTATGTCGAAAACCGACCGACCGACCATTTGGGTCACGAGAGCCACTTCTTGTGCAATGGACACCAGTCATTATTTGTTCTTAATTCACTTTTAATTTTCCCTTTAATTGATTGGACTGAAATGCTCTTCCTCAGTTGACTTGTCGGCTTCTGCCTAGTACGGACACTTTGACATTGTCTGAGGATTAACTTGAAGTTATTCGGTGATTAGTGACCAACAGTGTAATCCAAGATGCGCATGTCTTCCTATTCGGGACTCGGATGACTCCCGTGACCCAAGTGGCCTAGTTGATAACGCTTCGGGGTGTCAAATGTTGTATATCGGGTTCGAGTCTCAGTGGGAACGGTATCACTGATTAGAGAATGGAGGTACATCTAACTGACGAGTCCCACACAGGACGATATGCGCATCCTAGATTCCAGCATCGGTCTGTGACCATACTGCATTGAAAGCACCCGTTCTCGTTCGATCACCAAAGTTAAGCAACGTTGGGCCCGGTTATTACTTCCATTTGTGACCGGCTGGGAATGCCGGGTGTTGCCGGTCTTTTGTGCATCGGTGGCACAGTAATTGAGACGCTCGCCGACTATGCACATCGTCCGGGGTTCGATCCCCAGCCGATGCACACCTGATATCAATGGTCGGCCTGCTAAATTTTGGCTACTGATATCACATGCCGTAAATTCCATAGTTGTACCGAAATATTGTGTATGTAGTCAAGGTATAATAAAAAAAATTAGTTTTCAAGTATTGTTTTTGTAGGGATTTTGTTTGATTCCATGGAGGTCCTGGGTTCGAGTCTCGGTGGGTGCGTACCCATGAGGAGTCCCAAACTAGGGCGAAACAGCTGTCCAGTACTCCCAGGTTTTCCAGTGGTTCTCTAACTGATGTCAGCTCATGATGAAATCCTCCATGCAATCAAAAAAATTAGTCGCCATTCACCAAACTACTTCAGGTTAGTCACCAGACATTGTCCGTACTAGGTAGATAGGAGCCTGCATGTCAACACAAAGGCCCAACATTTTGGTCCAATCAACAAGGAAATGAAAATTTAATTAAGAACCATTAAATTAGATATTGTTCAATTCAGATTTTTAGTAAAATCTGAAATTCATTTTAAACTAATTCATTATAGTTAGTTAAAATACGGTGTAATAAGAATTCACATACAAAACTTCCTTTTTGTTGTTGCTGTTGTTGTTTTCTATTCTAGGATTGTGTAAAGCAACTCAGTGAATGTGACGCAATTTTCTATATATGCAACAGTAACTACCCAATCGGTTGGTTGTAAATGATTCGTGCTATTCTGGTCATTAATAATCATGGAAAGCCAAGATTAATCAAATTTTATGAGCATTATGTATAAGTGTTAACTTAATAATTTATGCCCCCCCCCCTTCCCCCCTTCCATAGAGTGAAGATGAACAACAGAAAATTGTTAAAGAAGTTTTCAATCTTGTCTCTAGACGTGATGATGATGTTTGCAATTTTTTAGAAGGTGGCACGTAAGAAATTATCCTCAATATATATACATATGCATATATATACATCAAATTTTAGATTAGTCGGTGGTCAAGACTATCGTTTAATATATCGTCATTATGCTACATTATATTTTGTATTCTGTGTTGATTCCTCTGAAAGTGAACTTGGCATATTGGATTTAATTCAAGTATTTGTTGAAGCTTTAGATAAATGTTTTGAAAATGTTTGTGAATTAGATTTAATATTTCATGTTGATAAGGTGAGTAGTAGTATTTCATCATTCTCTATTGTTTGGAACCATTTTTTTCTTTTTTCTTCTTCTTTCATTTGTGAAGAGGTGACGTAACCAGTTGACTGTGCTAGACAATAATTGGTAGATCCCCAGGTTCGAATCTCATTCCATTTACTTCAGTCTGGATGACTGACTGGGTCGGTAGTATAATCAGCTCACCTTACACTATTATGTGTCAGTCATACTTTAATTGGACACTAGGCAGTAAATTAAAGTCATGCGTCTAGTACACTTGGTGTTGTAGCGGAATGTATTCTATCAGTCAAGTTTGCAATGTGGCTACCGTGCTAGTTGGCCCGTTACCACGGTACGGTGCACTGTGAATTGTCGTTTTGGTGGTTGGAGGCTATTGGCAAGAAGGCTTGCCTGATCTAAGTATCGTGCTTGTTGGCACTTATCAGTCAGTAAGGCGTGTCTGCAATCCTGAAGGAACTTGTATCCTTTCACCTGACCGATAGCTGCTACCTTAACGTGGTGGTCGAGCTTACATATTGCAATAACCCAACAAGCTACACTGGTTAGAAATATTGTTCCTGTTTTGGTGTGGTTGTGTTCTCTGAGCTGGATGGTTTGGTTGCGAAGCTTTCATTGCTCTACTGAGCAACATCTTCAGCGCATACTTCGATGTGAAGTGAGCTTTTAGAATTCTCTATGAGTTTATTAGTCATCTCTTCTAGTAACCTTGAACGTGATTGGTTGTTTTCGTGTGACATTTCACCCCCTAGTTTGCTTGTCTCGGTGCTGGCTGCTTCTTTGGTCTGAATGTTGTTAGTCATTCCTTCTGCTAACCTTGAACGTGATTGGTTGTTTTTGTGTGACTTCTCACTTTCTAGTTCACTTGTTTTGGTGTTGACTGTTTCCTTGACCTGAAGTTTGACTTTGTTTTTGTGTGAATTTCTTCGTATGGATTGGTATATTTTGTCAATCTCTATGTGTCTATTGATTGCTGATTCATTTGAATACCAGGCCTCTAGGAATTCTCTGGCATTTTTGCAGTTCCCTTTGTCTAAGATTTGAACATTGTCCCAGTCGAATTGGTGCCCGTGGTTGTCTGCATGTAGTGATATGAGGGAGTGTATGTCGTGTCTTTTGACAGCTAGTTTGTGTTCGTGAATGCGAAGACGAAGAGGGCGTCCACTTTGACCAATGTAATGTTTGTCGCAGTCGTTGCAACTTATCTTGTAGATGACGTTAGTTTTGTCTTCTTTTGCCGTTGAGTCCTTTGGTTTACATAGAACTGAGTGTAGTGACTTTGTTGGTTTATGAGCGACATCGATTCCAAAAGGTTTGAATAGTCTTGCAGTGATTTCGGAGATATCTTTTATATATGGTAGGACGACTTTCTTTGTGTTTTCGCTGGTGGCCTTTGATTTGGTTGGTTGAGCTGGGGGTAGATGTCTTTTGATGAAGTTTCGTGGGTATCCATTTCTTTGGAAGACGTCCATAAGATGATTTTCTTCAATTTTCCTCAAGGCGGGAGTGCTGCAATGAGTCCTGGCTCTCTTGAACAATGTACGTATGCAGCTAATTTTGTGTGATGTTGGGTTGTTACTGTTGTAATTGAGTATCCGAAAATTTGGATACGCTACGTAGATGATACATTCGTGATAATCAAAAGAGAAAACTTAGACAATACCCACAACATAATAAACAACACCTTCAACGACATCAAATTCACAAGAGAAGAAGAATATGAAAACAAAATCCCATTTTTAGACGTCTTAATCAAACGAACAACTACAGGAAAATTAGAAACCCAAGTATACAGAAAACCAACGCACACGGATCAAATACTCAATTACAACAGTAACAACCCAACATCACACAAAATTAGCTGCATACGTACATTGTTCAAGAGAGCCAGGACTCATTGCAGCACTCCCGCCTTGAGGAAAATTGAAGAAAATCATCTTATGGACGTCTTCCAAAGAAATGGATACCCACGAAACTTCATCAAAAGACATCTACCCCCAGCTCAACCAACCAAATCAAAGGCCACCAGCGAAAACACAAAGAAAGTCGTCCTACCATATATAAAAGATATCTCCGAAATCACTGCAAGACTATTCAAACCTTTTGGAATCGATGTCGCTCATAAACCAACAAAGTCACTACACTCAGTTCTATGTAAACCAAAGGACTCAACGGCAAAAGAAGACAAAACTAACGTCATCTACAAGATAAGTTGCAACGACTGCGACAAACATTACATTGGTCAAAGTGGACGCCCTCTTCGTCTTCGCATTCACGAACACAAACTAGCTGTCAAAAGACACGACATACACTCCCTCATATCACTACATGCAGACAACCACGGGCACCAATTCGACTGGGACAATGTTCAAATCTTAGACAAAGGGAACTGCAAAAATGCCAGAGAATTCCTAGAGGCCTGGTATTCAAATGAATCAGCAATCAATAGACACATAGAGATTGACAAAATATACCAATCCATACGAAGAAATTCACACAAAAACAAAGTCAAACTTCAGGTCAAGGAAACAGTCAACACCAAAACAAGTGAACTAGAAAGTGAGAAGTCACACAAAAACAACCAATCACGTTCAAGGTTAGCAGAAGGAATGACTAACAACATTCAGACCAAAGAAGCAGCCAGCACCGAGACAAGCAAACTAGGGGGTGAAATGTCACACGAAAACAACCAATCACGTTCAAGGTTACTAGAAGAGATGACTAATAAACTCATAGAGAATTCTAAAAGCTCACTTCACATCGAAGTATGCGCTGAAGATGTTGCTCAGTAGAGCAATGAAAGCTTCGCAACCAAACCATCCAGCTCAGAGAACACAACCACACCAAAATCATCCACCTGAGCTACAAATCTTCTCTATTATATCTATATTGTTCCTGTAGATCCTACCGTGCCATGAAGGTTGTTAGGATAGCGACTAGACTAAAAGCAGTGACCGGCATAGTGTGAAAATTTTTTAAAATTATGCTGGGAGTCTGTGGGCGAAGTCGTACTGCTGGGGAACAGGGATCTAACAGCTGTAAGGTGTTTACCTCAGATGACCAGCATGCCAGTCAGCTACGGTGTCTCTTTAATCTGGAGGGAGGGGGTCAGTAAAAGTCGACCCCAAAAATTGTACATCCCGACTTACCCTACGGTTGTCCGTAACCGCCGGCGGTAAGTTTACTAATACGGAACCAAAACCAAGAAACCAGTTCATACGGGCCGTGTGTGACCGGCTGGCCTCAAGCAGTTGTCCTCTGTGCTCTGTGCGGTCACGCAACACTAACTCTCTTTTTGTTTCAGGTACCTCAAGAAAAAATCGACTTCCACGATGTGGGCAGTCGGGAATTAACAACCACCGACACTTCCAAAAGCACACGAAGCTCTCCTGATCATCATTTTCCTTTATCCACACCACCCTCATCATCTTACTTCCTTACTACAGTCAGTACTATTCTTCAGCCTAGTGAGTCATCTTCATTTCACTCTGGGACCAAAAACAACGATGAGAACCATAGAAAAATCCCTGGCAACCTCTTAAAGCTACGCCGCCACCTCACATAGGAGCATTCAACGTTAGGACGCTTTACTGAATTGGACAAGAATCAGTCGTATCCCTTCTGAAGTTCGAACTTGGGTTAGCGGTCAGGGACGTTACCACTAATGCCTCTTCTGGCACTGTAATAGATACTTTGATTAGGCACTAAATAGTAACTAATGTGATGCGTCTAGTCTTTGGCGTCGGTGCAGACTGTGACATCTTCGTTCCTTCAAGATTACGGTTACGCTTTGCTGACGAGCGTCAACAAGCTGGAAACCCTAGATCCAGGACTACCTGCTGATTGCCTTCAACTATCTAATGAGGGGATAATTCATAGCCTGGCGCTGAGAAACTGATTCGTGACCCCAATTGAGTACTTTCCTCTTAAATTTTTCTCTCTCTTCTTATAGGTACACTATATACTGAATGAACTTGTACTTGGTGGAATGGTTTTAGAAACGCATATCAATGAAATTACACACAGATATGAAGAACAACAAAAATTAGAAAAACAAGAGGTAAGTTAGAGTGATTTAAAGTTTATTAAAAGGCATATATGTATAAATATATTAATAAGACATAAACTTGATACACTATGGGCACCAAATCTCGTAGTTTGTCTGAGGCCTCTGTGATCCTGCCCAGATATAGGAAGTGAAATGGTAGAGCACGTTGACCGCTTCACTTACTTGGGAAGTACCATCAGCCCCAACGGGTTGACCTCCGACGAAATCTCAGGACGAATACAGAGGGCTAGTTTCGCATATGCTAGTTTGCACCGTCTCTGGCGTAGACGCGATATCCGACTATCGACCAAAGGGCGTGTGTACTGCTCTACAGTCAGCTCCGTCCTCCTTTATGGCTGTGAGACCTGGCCATTGAGAGCAGAAGACATGAAAAGATTATCTATGTTCGATCATAGGTGTTTGCGTTCTATCTTCCGTGTGAAGTGGCATAATAAGGTGGGCAATATTGAGGTTAGGCGTCGAGTGCTAGGTAAGTGGGAGGGGAAATCAGTCGACGAGACTGTGAAATTACATCGACTGAGATGGTTAGGACATGTGTTACGCATGCCTAGTCATCGCCTTCCTCGACGGGCAATGTTAGCTGATATAGGGCCAGACTGGAAAAGAGCTAGCGGTGGTCAAACGAAAACATGGAACCAGTCAATGAAATCTACAACAGTTAGTCTAGGCCACGTAGGAAGATGTAGACTTCCTGGTTGGGGTCCTCGGGACGGTAAAAACCAATGGTTGGATACAATTGGTGACATGGCTCAAAATCGTTCTCAATGACAGCGCAGATGCATCCACTCCTTGTGACCTATGATTTCCGTTATTACTATTCCTTTGTCTCACACCTCTGTTTACTGACTATATTATGCATTTCTTCTACTTTCTTCTCTTGCTTTATGTGCTACATGGAGGGAGTGTGGCGACTTGAACTGCTGCACATATGTGCAAAGTTCTATGTCAAAAACTAACCCAGATTCCCACATTGAAGCTAGCTAGTTGTTATCCTAAGCAGTCACGCCACCAACCTTTGACTTGAGGTCTAATCCACAAGGCAGTAGAGTGGGGTCAGCGGGATTTTCAACCATCTAACCAATTTAATTCAATTTTAGATTTTCCCGTCGATTGATTGGACCAAAATGCTCGGTCTCAGGTTGACATGTCGTCTTCTTGTGCAGATGCTTCGACGTTGACTGGGCATGTAGTTATAGGTTAATTGGTGGATGGTGACTAGCAGTGGAATCCAGGATAACGCGCATTTCGTCCTATTTGGGACTCGTCAGCTAGTGGATGTACCTGCATTCCGCAGTGAGTGATGATTTTCCCACCGGGGCTCGAACCCAGCACCCATAGTCTCAAACACCAAAGCGTTATCCACTATACCTACTTGGGCTACGAGAGCCACTGTCTCTTGTGCAACGGGTCATATTAATTATTTAATTCGATTTTAGATTTTCCCGTTAATTGATTGGACCGAAGCAGGTACATCCAGACGATGAGTCCCAAATAGGACGAAATGCGCTAATCCTGGATTCCACTGCTAGTCACCATCCACCAATTAACATGTAACCAACGAATTGTTTCAAGCGATTGGTCCTTAGAATTCCGAAGACTCTAACCAGACAGCATTCTATACCTCTGTATATGAGGCTGAGACTAACTGTTAGAGATTTCTTACACTGATTCCAAGTTTTGGTTTGACCACTAACCGAATCCTATGTCAGCTAACATTGACCATTGAGGAAGGCAATAGTTAAGCATGCGTAATACTTGTGCTGGCCATCTCAATCGATGTAGCTTCGTAAACTCGTTGATTTTCTTTCCCTCCTTATCTAAAACTCGACGTCTAACCTCAATATCACTCACCTTATTATACCACCACCTCACACGGGAGATGGGACGCAGGTGACTTATAATCCTTCTTCTTTCAGTAGCCATGTCTCACAGTCATAAAGGGGGACGGAGTGAACTGCTGTGCAGTACAGACGTCCTTTAGTTGGTAGTCAGCCAGCCAGTCGGATATCACGTCTACGCCAGAGACGGTGTAATTTGGCAAGTGTCACACTCTTAAACCTGAAATGTAGGAGGGGAGGTTTAGACGTGAGACTAACAACACCATAGCTAGTGAAACTTCTAACCTTCTAGCTGTGTATATCCCACTCAGAGAACTCTAGTGGAATAGAAAAGAACAATCAACAAACAAACAAACAAGACTTTTGACTACTACATTTAACCATTCCGATTTGATGAATTTTTTTTTGTATTCCTTTACATTCCCCCCCTCCCCAAGTGGAACACATAGGGCTTCAAGGTAGAGCCCAGTTGAAGCTTCTGTAGCAATGGTATCTATTTTTACAGAATAGAGTTGCTGCCGGCCTCATGCCCGCCAACCTTCCCTCTTTACACCAGTCTTATCACTGGCTTAGCGAGGTAAAGGAGGAGTGCGTCCGTTGCCGCCGGGGCTCGAACTCCGAACCACCTAGGTGATTGGTGAGCATTCTACCTCTCTGCCACCTTGGGTTCCTAGTGGAACATAGGGCTTCAACTGCACGTCCCCACTTGCTTCTGTCTTCTGCTGTATTTTTCACTTGCATCCATGTTAATCCATACTGTTTCAGTCCCTTATTCACGATTTCCTCCATGTCACCCTTGGACGTCCCAATCGCCACTTCCCTTTCGGGTTCCACTCGAGCATTGGCCTGACATGCGATGTCACCCAGTGGCCTCCTCAGCCACGAATGTCCAATCAATTTCCATTTTCTCCTGCATATTTGTTGGGTGATTGGTTCTTGTTTTGTTTCTTCCCATAGTTTCTTGTTGGCGATTCTTCCTGGCGGTCATCTGATCTTCAGTATAGAGCGAAGACAGCTGTTGATTAAGGTCTGCAACAGGCTGTTGGAAATATTCTTTGTGACCCACCAAGTTTCTGATCCATCCGTATGGAAGAACTGACTCACTTGACGTTTGTATTGAAAATCCGAATTTTGTTGTTGATGCAGGCTGAGTGACGAAGATTTCCAGATTGGTATCAGGGTGATGAATGTGTTTCTTGCCTTCCCGATTCTCGATTTGACATCCTCGTCCGTTCCTCCTGTGGTTGAGACAATGCTCCCTAGATAAGTGAGTGAAGTAACCTCTTTCAAATCCCTCCCGTTGATGGTGATTGGCGCTGGATGTTGCTGCTGTTGTTGTTGTTGGTTGGTTATTTTCATAACCTCCGTCTTGTCTATGTTCACCTGGAGTCCTGTCTTTGCTGCTTCTTCGACCAGTTTGTCGGTTTTCGCTTGTAAGTCTTCAATTTTGTGTGAAATCAAACATAAATCATCCACGCGCGAAATCCAGGGCAGTCAGACTAGCTGAACATAAAAACTTAGCAAAATATAGATAAGAAATCTAGAGAACAGTTCAGCTATAGCACTACATGCAGTCACACACAACCATACAATAGGCTGGATGGGATAGGATGACAGTTTTAAAATCTAATGTAACATCAGGGTGGAGGGAGAGACTGATAACAGAAGCTTTGTTTATTGAATCAACTGCAAATACATGTAATAGGAATGATTCATCACCTGTCCCAGATATCTGGAAAATTCTACTACCCGAAGGACGACAAATAGGAGAGGACAAAGAAAGCTATAAAACTCAAGTGTGAAAGTCGTATGATCACAATTGATATGATTATGATCAATAAATTTTGTTCGAAACGTGATCCAGTAAATAATACTGTTTCACTGTGTGATATACCTAATAAACAAACTAATATGGAATTGCTTACTACCACAGTGTCCAAGTTTTACACATATATTAACACTGAATATTGTTTTGTTGCTTTCTTTTTTTCTTCTATTTATTTGTTTGTTATGAAATTAGTCTGGCTTATCTGGTGCACCAGCTCGTGCTGTTTCAGCAATGCGTGATTTAAATCTTCATCAAAAGTTTAAAGAGATTCGTTTCCCTGATTTACAATCCCTACAAAGTAGACTGTCACGATAATTTTATTCTCTGTGTGTGTGTGTGCTTGCGTGTTCATTTCTATCTCTTCTATTTGTCTTTCTAAATAAAATTACACTTTACAGTTTTTTATTTGAAGTACAGATTGTTATGTGATATTATGTAATATTCTCATGTTTTTCTCTTTTGAAAATCCTGTTTCATCTGTTTCTGTTTTATTATTTGCATCCTTTTTTGCTGGCAGTATAATAATACAAAATGTTGTTTTTGTGAAATCATAAATGGCGGTTAGTTGTAACTGTCAGTTGTACTGCTTGTGCATGTGTGTGCTTATGCATTTCTCCTACCACCTAACTGCGTTCAATCACTGATACTTTCAACAGATTTGAATCTTATATTCTGCTGGAGGATAGTTGAGCTACCATATCAATAAGTCACGTTGATTTCTGTGAAATATATACCACTGGAAACTATAGCTTATAGTTAAAACGCGGAACATTGCAGGCATCAAGAAATAAGCCACACAAAGTCTTATAGTTTGTGTAACGAACTGCGATACTGTCTGGACACCTTTTTTTGAATATAGCTTGATTCCACACCGTATTTTTGGTAGAAGTATGAAATTTTCAGCATTTGATATCGGTAGCCCAAATTTTACAGGCCGACCATTGATATCGGGTGTGCGTCGGCAGGGGATCGAACCCCGGACCATGTGGATGGTCGGCGGGAGTCCTAACCGCTATGCCACCTACCTAGACCAGAGTAGGTGGTGGTTGTCTTAAGGAGCCACACCTAGTCGAAACTTTTAATAATAATAATAATAATAATAATTTGCTTTATTCCAAAACAGTACTTGTGATACAGAATGGAATTCTCAGCATTTTACTACAGTATTGCATCCAGTTAGTACATTATCAATAAATAAAATTCTACATAGATTAAGGAAATCTCAGTTCATTATGACAACAACATATTGGCATGTCGGTAGCAAAGGTAAAGCTGAACAGTGTTTGAAGGTGTTAGAAAAGTAGGTGCTGTCATATTTACTAGCGTAAGCGAGAGAAAGAAACAAAGCAGCACATAATGGAAAAAAGAGAAAAAAAGAGAGAGAGAAAAGGAAAAGAAAGAAAGAAAATGTTGTACCTATAAATGATATGAGTTGGAAAGACGAGGTCCAGTTGTACTACTGACTATTGAATGAATTATAGGTGTCATGCCTAATGCTTTCTTTATCGCACAGAACACGAGCTAAGTAGGGTATGGTTGAGTTTTTGTACTTGCTGGTGCGAGCATATAGTTTTCTATATAGGCTTCTGGTTTTGCCTGATGAAATGCAAGGGGAGAGTTGTGAGTGAAGAGGGTGGTGTGAGTTAGATAAAATGGATTTGGCCCATTTTTCACATGAGTCCATGTGCCTGTCAACCAGAATATTAACAAGCTGGTTAAGTGGCACGTTGCTTACCCTGATGACAACCTTTAACATCCTGCGTAATATGTTATAGTCTTTCTTCAGTAGCCCGGAAAAACTAATGGGGAACAATAGAGAATAATAGGCAGAATGCGAGAGTTAACGAATTGTAGGAATAAGGGTTGGGTTATACCAGAATATTTGTCTTGAAGCCTAATCCACCAGTTCAAGTGTAAACGCCAGACGTCCTCGTTCTCCCTTTCATCGTTGTGAGGAACACCCCCCTATCCCCACGTGAAGTTAGTACATAAGGCTTAGCTAGCTGGCAAAGTCTATGGATGCGCGGCCATATGAGAGCATTTTTTTAGAGGAAAACTGAAGTCTATCCACCTCCGACTGTACTAGGTCGTTTATGGTAGCGTAGATTTTAGTAGCTTCAGTTTATATATATAACTGAAACGTAACGCATCTATTTGCACAACTATTACTAATCTTCGAATACTGCGTATAGCTCATAGCCTAAAACATTAGGCTGTACATAGCTTTTAAACTGGGCTATTATCTCTTTACATTATTATTGCTAGATGTAGTCTGACCAGCGTAGAACACTGAGCAAAAGTGCATTAGTACAACTTGCCATTCCTTAAGGAAACATACATGAAGAGAGGAAGAGAGAGGCAGGAATAACTCGATGAAGATAAGTGAGAGTGAATCCCAGAATATTGATTGAATGCATCTGTGCTATTGAGATTGATTTTGAACCATGTCATCAACAACACTCCCTAACCATTGACTTATGACATTGCGAGCATCTCAGCCAGGCAGTCTACACTTCCCTGAGTAGCTCAAACTAAAAGTTAAAGACTTTGGTTTAGTGCCGTGTTCTTGTCTAACTCCCTAAGACAAAATGGAATACTCCGAGTGAGTTTTTTGTATCCAAGCTGAGGTTTTGTCAGCAACTAGACCATTTGGGGGCTAATACAGCTACCTAAATTAGTCGAATGTTTAACATATTCAACCACCCCATACTCTGTATCGGTGTTGCACAGTCCTGCAACATCCATTTGTGGTGAGAGCTGTCTGCTAGACAAAATTGTAGACAACAATTTACGTCAATGTTTACGTCCCGAATCGGGGTCATGAGAAGAAAACACAATAACAAAGCTTAACCTTGAGGAACTCACCAACCAATCACAACAGACTTAACTTGTGAAAATACGATTCGCAGATATACGGCCTGACTTTCTAAGAAACGGCCACAAAGAGATGGCAGAATAACCTTGAGCAAGAAAACAATCAATCAGAAGAGGTTGCTTCTCTTCTAACAATGGCGAATAATAATGTACATGAAAATCTATAATTGTCTGTTGATTTTCTGAATAAACGATCTTTTGCCTGGCCCTTGTCTTCTGCCGTTACACATTATCTCACATTTAACAAAGATAAATTGCACACCAAAAATCCTAAGATATTTACTCAGGGTGTTTATAATAATAATAATACCCTTATTCTGAAAAACGTGTATATAATGTACAGAACTTTCAGTGCAGTTTATTACACGATATCTTCTCTTCATCTAGGATCTTCAAATAATAAAAAAATAACTGACAGTAGATGGCGTGACACGATTCTATCAGACCTGAAGAGCAAACGAATCTATGATGATATCTCTTCCTTTTTTCTCCTTCAAGTTTTACACGACATTCAAGTATTGGTTTATAGGGATTTGGTTGATTGGTTACAGGATTTCATCAAGAGCTGACATTGGTTAGAGAACCATTGGAAAACCTGGGAGTACTGGACAGCTGTTTCGTCCTAGTTTGGGACTATTCAGCAGTACACACCCACCGGGGTTCGAACCCAGGACCTTCTGGTTACAAGGCGAGCTCGTATACCATTAAGCCACTGGGACCCGATCCAATGGCCAGTGCATGAATTCTAACTTCTGCCAATTCACGACATAGCGCGACTGGTACTAGCCAATGTCTTCGGTGAGTATTTGTCCTTACACCCGACCTGCTGCACCCTACTGGTCACGACTTCCCACTGGAACCCCAGGTAACTACCTACCTGAATAGGGCCAGTCGCCAGTGAGCATCTCATTGATATTCAAGTATTGGTTTGTATTGGTTTACACGACAGTTTATTGAATAGCAATCAGAAGAAGTTCAGGAGCACGTTTTGTGAACCAAGGATACTACTCAGGAACGGCAAAGTTCAACAATAGCGTCCCGAAGGGATGCAAACGCTTGAGTGACCTTCAGCCGACCAATCATAAAAATGAGGAATTTTTGCACAAAAAATGACGTATATTTACAGGAAAATGCATGAAAACACATTAAACAGAGTATCTTTCTCCTCTGACATGACTTAAAAATACGTCCCAGTTATAATGAGGCGTATCAGTTGCGCTAAGTTAGACTAGTTTCTGTACATGTGTATTCACCGAGGTGACTGTAGATGAGCTGTTTTTGTGAATCGTTCATCTCTTTTATCCTGTACAACGTTGTGCAGTCTTCCCCAAAAGCCCTCGGTTGAATTACTATGGTTTCCAGTAAGAGGATCGACGACTACTTACCAGGAAAATGTGTATAATAAGACAAATTAAAATAAATGACATCAACTCTATATCTATCCCTAGTCGTAACCCTAACCTTAATCATAACCCTTATCCAAACCATAATTCTAACCCTAATCCTAATTATTATCCTTAACCCTAATCCTAAAGAGCTATTAACACATTGTCGAAACAGTACTTAAAAACGTGATCTGGGTGAAATTTGCTGCTTAGCTGGTGAATAGCGTTGATATTTCAGCTATGATAATGACAGGTGCCGTTAGCCAACGACTAGCATGCGTTCAAGGTCATTGGTCATGCGTTCGCACTCCTGTGACGCTATTGTTGAACTTCACCTCAGACAGGAACAGTCATCTCATTGTATTGGGATAAGCTGCCATTGAGGATAATGCTTTTTCACATGTTTAGCAGAAACTTGTGAATCAACAGGTTGTAAGTGTTTTAAATACTCGCCAGAGTAAACAATAATTACTATTAGAGGTCATATTTTGCTTGATTTAAACAAACTGAATCAGAGAAAATATTGATAATAATAATATTGATTGAGGTTTTTCGATAGACCAAGTATTGAAGCAAGCCGCAGTAGTCTGTCAGAGTCATCTGCCTATTTAAAGTCAGGACTACAGTTTTTGCTGAATAAAATAGTACCATCACTGTTTATTTCGTTGTCTTCTCATCAGCTGCTTACAGGCCACAGTCATTATTAAGTATATCTACAGAAACAATTTTAACATACTTACACAGAGTTCATTTTTAAACAAAAATCAATCAATCAATATATGCATACAGTAATTATATATACATACATATATATGTAATATTAAACACTATTCCGAACAATAATGATCATACACAATGGAAACTTTAGGCATTACGTATTCAGATGAAAGAGAGATGAAAATATCCAGTTACCAGACAGGGCAAAGAAAGACTGATAACCGTTTCTTTCTGAACGCACAAATCAGGTTTCAGGCGCTTGATGGAAATGGCTTCAGCAAACTTGAGGAGAATTGAGCTCTTTTGCCTATTGATAATTTTGAACGATCTTGCGACGTCCACCTCATGCATGACCCGTGTCAAGGAGATGCCTGGCGATGGCACTGTTTAAAGCATTTGTTCCCTTTAGACATAAGCTTTTTGGTACATGTTCAGAAAATCGTAGATATGCCCTTCTTCCTTCTGTTCTTCCA